AATAATGGAGTACAGGGGAGCTGGGATATACATTACTGTATACATGTCATATCACTATAATGGAGTACAGGGGAGCTGGGATATACATTACTGTATACATGTCATATCACTATAATGGAGTACAGGGGAGCTGGGATATACATTACTGTATACGTCATATCACTATAATGGAGTACAGGGGAGCTGGGATATACATTACTGTATACATGTCATATCACTATAATGGAGTACAGGGGAGGGGGATATACATTACTGTATACATGTCATATCACTATAATGGAGTACAGGGGAGGTACGATATACATTACTGTATACATGTCATATCACTATAATGGAGTACAGGGGAGCTGGGATATACATTACTGTATACATGTCATATCACTATAATGGTGTACACGGGAGCTGGGATACATACATTACTGTATACGTCATATCACTATAATGGAATACAGGGGAGCTGGGATATACATTACTGTATATGTCATATCACTATAATGGAGTACAGGGGAGCTGGGATATACATTACTGTATACATGTCATATCACTATAATGGTGTACAGGGGAGCTGGGATATACATTACTGTATACGTCATATCACTATAATTTAGTACAGGGGAGCTGGGATATACATTACTGTATACATGTCATATCACTATAATGGAGTACAGGGGAGCTGGGATATACATTACTGTATACATGTCATATCACTATAATGGTGTACACGGGAGCTGGGATATACATTACTGTATACGTCATATCACTATAATGGAGTACAGGGGAGCTGGGATATACATTACTGTATACATGTCATATCACTATAATGGAGTACAGGGGAGCTAGGATATACATTACTGTATACATGTCATATCACTATAATGGAGTACAGGGGAGCTGGGATATACATTACTGTATATGTCATATCACTATAATGGAGTACAGGGGAGCTGGGATATACATTACTGTATACATGTCATATCACTATAATGGTGTACAGGGGAGCTGGGATATACATTACTGTATACGTCATATCACTATAATTTAGTACAGGGGAGCTGGGATATACATTACTGTATACATGTCATATCACTATAATGGAGTACAGGGGAGGGGGATATACATTACTGTATACATGTCATATCACTATAATGGAGTATAGGGGAGCTGGGATATACATTACTGTATACATGTCATATCACTATAATGGAGTACAGGGGAGGGGGGATATACATTACTGTATACATGTCATATCACTATAATGGAGTATAGGGGAGCTGGGATATACATTACTGTATACATGTCATATCACTATAATGGAGTACAGGGGAGGTGGGATATACATTACTGTATACATGTCATATCACTATAATGGAGTACAGGGGAGGGGGATATACATTACTGTATACATGTCATATCACTATAATGGAGTATAGGGGAGCTGGGATATACATTACTGTATACATGTCATATCACTATAATGGAGTACAGGGGAGGTACGATATACATTACTGTATACATGTCATATCACTATAATGGAGTACAGGGGAGGGGGATATACATTACTGTATACATGTCATATCACTATAATGGAGTACAGGGGAGGGGGATATACATACTGTATACATGTCATATCACTATAATGGAGTACAGGGGAGCTGGGATATACATTACTGTAGTTTTATAAATAGACCCCTAAAAGTGTATTTAAAGCCAAAATATGTTTTTTTTTTCATTTCAGTTAAAGCTAAATGTAAAAAAAAATAATTGCCTTCAATAAAATTGAAGAAAAAATCCATACTAGGCACTTCGGATCTGCCCCCCAAAATCCATACCAGACCCTTATCTGAGCATGCAGCCTGGAAGGTCAGGAAAGGGGCTCCCTCCTCTGTAACCACACCAGGCCACATGCCCTCCACATGGGGGGGGTGCTTTTGGGGCAGGGGGGCCCCCCAAATCACCTTGTGCCCATACTGATGGGCACAAGGGCCTCTTCTCCACAACCCTGGCCAGGGGTTGTGGGGGTCTGCAAGTGGGGGGCTTATTGAAATCTGGAAGCCCCCTTTAACAAGGGGCCCCAGATCCTGCCCCCTCGGTATGGTTCAGGAGGGGGGGCACTCGCTCGATAAGAATCTGTTATGGATTTTGGGGGGGACCCCACGCCATTTTTTTTTTTGGCTTGGGGTTTCCTCTCAAAACCATTACAAACTCAAAGGGCCCGGTATGGGTTGAGGGAGGGGGTTCCCCACACTGTTTTTTTTTTCTTAATTTTTAATTGCCGGCAATTCTTTTTTTTTACATTTAGCTGTCAGAGGGGATCCCACTGACAGCTGATGACTCATAACATTACCGCATGTTTCACTACTAAAATACCACATGACTTCATAAAATAACTCAATTTAAGAAATAAAAAGCTGTGTGGTATCTTACCGAATACTTGGATGCAGTAAGATACCACTATGTGAATTGTGCCGGGTGTCTGGGAAAAGCTGTCAGAAATGACTCATGGACAGGGGAGGACTGACAACTAATGGGGCCCCCAGGCAATAGGGGATCATGGGGCCCCTGTGTCCTTGACCACACAGAAATCACACCCAAAAAAGCCTATAAAAGGTACCAAGGGCATTTCATGGGGCCCCCTACTGACCCTGGGCCCACGAGCACTGCCCGAGTGCTCGAATGGTCAGTCCGCCCCTGCTCATGCAGATAATGGAAGAACCAGGCGGCAGAGAGAAATCACACTCAGAGCTTTGTATAGAGACAAGTACACAGTATAGAAGGATATGCTTTGTTCAGATTTCATGTCTGAGGCTTATAGCCACTTTAACACAACACACATGATCACACAGCATAATACGCAATGATGTGCGTGTTAATGCGCCACATTGGTGTGAATGAGCCCTAAAGAACAACGTTTGTGAAGTGGCATCTGAAATGATGCAAACTTATATATTGCTGTCATGTAAGGTTCAGCTTACAAGTATGTTTTACTAGTATCCCTGCTGTCACTACATCTGCTTTATTGTAATAATTTGTGAATTGCATTAATATTGCATATTTCCTGCAAACTGTATTTGCATCTTGGTTTATAGATTCCTCAATGTGTACCAGCCCCTGCAGCTTGGAGGAGTAAAGAATCTACCAGGCAGTACTCATTCATCCATCCACTTCAGCGGGTTTTCTGGCTGCATCAGAAATCTGCAGGTTGATAGTAAGGTAAGATATGGTCCAGTATGGTGCATAACCTCTGGATGTGTATACAGAGTCCAAGGTCTAGAGCAGGGTTTCTCAACCAGGGTTCAGTGGATCCCTAGGGTTCCTCCAGAGGTTGCTAGGGGTTCCTTGAGTAATGAGCAATTTTTGCCTCTCAGGTAAGTTCCCACTGACACCATTGATCTTTTTCGCAATCTCTAAGGGGGTAATTCTTCCCAATGGCCATAAGTGTAAGGAGCATTCTTACCTCTGACTATCACACTAATGTATCATGAATTGTAGATAAAGTCAATTTAGCAAGGGTTCCCTGAGACCGGAAAGTTATGTCAAGGGTTCCTCTGCATTGAAAAGGTTGAGAAAGGCTGGTCTAGAGGGTAAGCATGGCAGCCCGGGAACTAGCATTTGCAGAATAAGAAGTAGTAATGGTGCCCTCCATGTCTCTTTCAGGGAAAGGAATAAAACCTTTCTATGTATCTATACTATCTATCTATGTATGCAATAGACAGTGCAAAAAGGAAGAAGAATCATACAGATGGGTTTTGTCTTTTACAAAATTTGGAGTTAAATTTAAAGTGGTTCTAAAGGCTCAAGGTTTTTTATCTTCATGCATTCTATGCATGAGGGTAAAAAAACCATCCTTCCCAGTCCCCCCCCTAATACTCACCTAAACCCCCTCTCAATCCAGTGATATGCACTGGAGTCTAGGCAGAGGCATCCCTAAGGTTGGTGTCACCTGGTGCGGTAACACTTGGTGACACCCCCTCCGATGATCCCCGCAGAATGGATCGGATCTGCGGATTGAGCATAATGGATCGGACTCTGATCCATTATGCTCAATCCGCAGATCCGATTCATCCTGCGGGGATCGTCGGCTTTCTTTACAACTTACCTTTTCTTGGAGCAGGTCCAGTGTCACCCCGTATAGGTATCATGCTGACGATCCCCACAGGATGGTTTGGATCTGCGGATTGAGCATAATGGATCGGAGTCTGATCCATTATGCTCCCCAATCTGCAGATCCGATCCATCCTGCAGGGATCGTCGGCATGCAACCTATACGGGGTGACACTGGACCTGCTCCAAGAAAAGGTAAGTTGTAAAGAAAGCCGACGATCCCTGCAGGATGGATCGGATCCATCCTGAGGGGATCGTCGGCTTGCTTTACAACTTACCTTTTCGTGGAGCGGGTGCGGTGTCACCCCGTGCTGTCAGTGGAACCTGCTTCGGGACCCCACTGAGTCTAGGCTATCCCGGGACTCCATCTTCTCATTGGCTGAAACTGAAGCAGGAGCCATTGGCTCCCACTGCTGTCAATCACAGCCAGTGAGCCAATGAGAAGAGAGAGGGGACAGGGCTGGTTTGTGAATGGACACACGGAGCAGCAGGTGCCCCTGTAGCAAGCTGCTTGCTGTGGGGGCATCCGATAGGAAGGAGGAGCCAGTAGAGCCTGTGGGGGACCCGAGAAGAGGAGGATCTGGGCTGCTCTGTGCAAAACCACTGCACACAGCAGGTAAGTATAGACATGTTAGTTATTTAATTGCCTTTAATTGCAGACTATTTTACAAGTGGAATCCTACTAATCAATTTGTTACTAAAATATTGCACATATGTGGATTTTGGTGATCCATTCTTATGTACAAATGCATGCCTTTCAGTCCTAAATCGTGTCTATTTTTTTTTTTTTAAACGAACCAACTGAATTGCTTTGTGTATTTGAGGTGTATGACTTGGAGAAGCCCCTGGAGTCAGTGAACAGTGCTGCAGGCTGTGCTGTGACAGATGAGTCTTGCAGTATGATTAGACCGCCCCCTTGTGGAAGACATGGATTCTGCATAAGTGATCAGATGTCTGCTAAATGTGCTTGTCACCCAGGACATTATGGGAAAGTCTGCGATTCAGGTAAAGTGGAAAGCAACAGAGTTAAAAAATTATTTGAAATCCAGTAACCATTTTAACTTATTAAACTAATTAACCTATTAATAAAAATTATTTCTGTATCAAATTAGACTCCACCTGATTGATAATGTTTTAGCCCAATCAATTCTGAGTTAAATCAGGTTCATGAACATGGGCTTTATATTTTATAACATGACTCAGCCTTATAGTGATCAGACTACTATAAACAAATCAGAAGTCAGCCAGTGCTACATAAAAAATACCCATTACATTTCTTAAAGCGTATTTTATGCCAACATTTCTTATTCCTGATATGTGCCTGCTGTACCATGTACTTGTATGAAAAACTATCCTGTTCTTTTTGTATTGCTTCATTTGTGTGAAACCCCTGGTGATCCCGCCAGTCCCTCTACTTTCCTATTTCAAACTGACCACACTAGGCATAAGAGCACATCCATCACAGTGTGGTTATGGTAATAATCAAAAAAATGCCACTCTTCATGAAGTTATAACCACATAACATGCATTACATCCAAACTTATCATCTTCAATAGAGTCCCAGTCATATATGTGCACTATCAACAGTGCACTAAAATCACAGTCCACAGTGTTACTGTTGTATGGTTTCCTTCTCCAGTCTCTTTATCTCATTCCACCACTTAGTGCCAATGTGACTTTATCGTGACTTAAATGCCCTCCACCAGATGTGCTTTCTCCTGGGATTAAATGACCGTACAATAAAGCGGAGCTCCACCCAAAAGGGGAAGTTCCACTTTAAGCCATTGTCCCCCGCTCCTCATTCAGGATTGGTACCTTTGGGGAGTGGGTACCCGAATTTGACAGGTACTTACTCCCACTTCTGCGTGATCGCCTAGGCTATCAGAAGCAGATGTTGTTCCCTCTCTCCCTGTAGTCTTCTGGAACACGTGACAGGTCCCATAAGACTACGGGGCCATTCACAAAGCGCAGCGCTACTTGTGCATGTGCAGTGGGCACCCGGCTGTGAAGCCGGAAGCTGTCACAGCCGGGTGCCCACACTGAAGATGCCAACATCAGGGAGAGAAGATGGCCAGTGAAACCAGCCATATTGAGGACACCACTGGACCGAGGGACAAGTGGCTGTATTTTTAAAGTCAGCAGCTACAGTTTTTTTAGCTGCTGACTTTTATTTTTTCTTTAAGTAAGGTCATTTAGCGCTTATGTCCCTCATAACAGACTTATTGGAACATTCCCCAACTTCCAAACAATGCACCTTATTGACTTTATGCGCTCCTGAATAGATACAGTATATATTAATAATTACTTAGAAAACAGATGAGGTTAAACTTTGTTCAGACCTCTGGGGGCCAAACATTGGAGCTCATGAATCCATCAGGATTCGTTTTTGTTTAATTCCCTAATAGTATTCTCTCCTCTACAGTGGCTTTTATGTTCCTCTGTACTCCAGAATTGTAGTTCCCTATAATTTCTGTTGTGTACCATGTGAAAGTGACAAGACAAATGGGGATTCTTATTCCCTCTACTGATGTTATACACATGTTCTTTTATCCTGTCCTTCAGTGCTCTTTTTGTTCTCTCTACATACATTTTTACATTTTAGAGCATAATTACTCCTTTTAGTATCACAGGATATAAATTATTTTATTAAATATTGCTTCCCTGTACCCGGATTAGTGAATTGACTTCTGCTCTTAGGGTTATGGACTACCCTACTACAGCTATAGCATCTGCCACCTGCATAGAATTCCTTGTTCTAAAAAGAAGTGAAATTCCTACTAATGGGAGGGTCTATTGCATTTCTTACTAATTTGTCCCTGAGTGTGGGCGCTTTGAGCTTTTTTATATATACATTTCGGTTTAGCTGGTATAATTTCTTTATGATGTGTATCTTGTTGTAACACGTGCCAATGTTTGTGTATAATATCCTGCACTCTCTTATATTGCATATTGTAATTAAGTACCACAGTAGTCCCATCTCTCTCTTCTTCCTTACCATTCTTACCCTAATTAGTTCTGTTCTATCAATATTCCTGATTTTATCTCTCTCTTCTTCTATAGTCAGGAATATTGATAGAAAAAAATGAATTAGGGGTAAGGATGAGATTAAATTTCAGATATATAAACCATAGTCTGTAGACGCTATAACTTTCACACAGACTATAAATAATACACTTATTGGGATTTTTACAAAGACTACATTTTGGCCTGAATTTATGAAGAAATTTCATTTTATTGGATATGTTTTATATCGCAAAGTAGAAAATATAATTTTTTTGTTTTTTTAAATGTATATAATAAAAACTAAAAAAAAAAAACAATAGTGATCAAATACCACCAAAAGAAAGCTCTATTTGTGTGCAAAAAATGATATAAATTTCATTTGGGTACAGTGTTGCATGACCAAGCGATAGCCAGTTAAACTAGCGCAGTCTTGAACAGCAAAAAATGGCCTGGTCATGAAGGGACTCAAACCTTCCGTGGGACAAGTTAGTACATTAAAGTGGCTCTAAAGGTGGAGAGTTTTTTTACCTTAATGCACATGTGTGAAACACAAGGCCCGCAGGCCAAATCCGTCCCATCAGGCCATTTCATATGAATCTCACACGTCTCATGCAGCTGCAGCATCCCCCTTGTCTCTGTTCCTCCATTGTCTCAGTAGAGAGGAGGACAGAACTCCTCCGCCAGATCCTGCACTGCTCTGTGCAGCTGCGGAGAGGCTTGTCTTTGTCTCCTCCCACCATCTCAGCAGACCGCAACAGAGAGCAGGATAGAACTCCTCCTACAGATCCGCCGCTTCTACGTGCAGCAGCAGAGAGGCTCTTGTCTGTTGTCTCCACCTTCTCAGCAGTCGGCAGCAGAGAGAAAGACAGAACTCTTCCTATAGATCTTGCACTTCTCTGTGCAGCCACAGCACCCCCTCGTCTCTGCCTCCCCTTGTCCCAGGATTCAGCAGACCCTAGGAGCTGACTTCAGCAGCCTTCCTCTGGTCCTCCTCCAGACCCTGCAGCAGCACAAAGTAAGAGGGATGCACTGTGATGTAATGAGGGTGGGGGGCTTTTGACCTCTGATGGTGGGGGGCTATTGACATTTGATATAAGGGGGGATCGGGTGTTATGGACAACTAATCTTACAGATACAATCGGCCCTTTGAAGGTAACCAGAATGTTGATGTGACCCATAATGAAATTGATTTTGACCCTCTTGCTTTAATACATTCTATGCATTAAGGTTAAAAAAAAAACTTCTGTGTGCAGCTTCCCCCACCAGCCCCCCTTACTTACCTGAGCCCAATCTCGATCAAACAAAGTGCATGAGAGCAGTGACTCCTCACAGGTTAAGAGACAGCAGTGAGAGCCATTGGCTCCTGCTGCTGTCAATCACAGCCAGTAAGGAGAGACAGCCTCACTGTGTGTCAATGGAGAACACAGTATGGGAGCAAGCCTGCACGAGTTCCCCCATAGCAAGCAGCTTGCTATGGGGGGGGGGGGGGGCACTTGGCAGTGGGGAGGGGCCAGGAGGGACAGCGGGGGACGTAAGTAGAGGAGGATTGGGGGTGGCTGTGTGCAGAACTAGTGCACAGAGCAGGTACGTATGGCGTGTTATTTTTTTTTTAATTTGTATAAATCACTTTAACCTCAATATCGAAGCTTCCTGACTTGATATATACAAAGAGGCATATTTATAGAGCAGTGAATGTGACATTCCCCAAGCATTAACTGTTGGTGAATAATTCACTGTATATTAAAGTCCATTCAGCAGGAAGATTTATCTGCAGTGAATGTTGGTGACTGTCACATTCACTGCTTTATAAACATGCCCCATAGAGTTTGTAAAGTAACCATTATGAATGTAGGCAGATTATACAATACATCCAGGGGCGGACTGACCATTCAGACACTCAGGCACTGTCAGTAGGGGGCCCCATGAGATACCCCTGGTACCTTTCATAGGCTTTTTTTGGGTGTGGTTTGAGTGTGGGTGAGGACACAGGGGCCCCATGATCCCCTATTGCCCAGGGGCCCCATGAGTGGTCAGTCCACCCCTGAATACATCATACCAAAATCATCTGTAGCCTAGTGTGTAATATATGTAATAAACATATACATATCCTTGTGACCTTACTTACAGTGGGGATCGAAAGTTTGGGCACCCCAGCTAAAAATTTGTATTAATGTGCATAAAGAAGCCAAGGAAAGATGGAAAAATCTCCAAAAGGCATCAAATTACAGATTAGACATTCTTATAATATGTCAACAAAAGTTAGATTTAATTTCCATCATTTACACTTTCAAAATAACAGAAAACAAAAAAATGGCATCTGCAAAAGTTTGGGCACCCTGCAGAATTTATAGCATGCACTGCCCCCTTTGCCAAGCTGAGACCTGCCAGTGTCATGGATTGTTCTCAATCATCGTCTGGGAAGACCAGGTGATGTCAATCTCAAAGGTTTTAAATGCCCAGACTCATCTGACCTTGCCCCAACAATCAGCACCATGGGTTCTTCTAAGCAGTTGTCTAGAAAACTGAAACTGAAAATAGTTGACGCTCACAAAGCTGGAGAAGGCTATAAGAAGATAGCAAAGCGTTTTCAGATGTCAATATCCTCTGTTTGGAATGTAATAAAGAAATGGCAGTCATCAGGAACAGTGGAAGTTAAAGCAAGATCTGGAAGACCAAGAAAAATATCAGACAGAACAGCTCGCAGGATTGTGAGAAAAACAATTCAAAACCCACGTTTGACTGCACAATCCCTCCAGAAAGATCTGGCAGACACTGGAGTTGTGGTACACTATTCCACTATAAAGAGATACTTGTACAAATATGGTCTTCATGGAAGAGTCATCAGAAGAAAACCTCTTCTGCGTCCTCACCACAAAAAATCATCGTTTGAACTTTGCAAATGAACATATAGACAAGCCTGATGCATTTTGGAAACAAGTTCTGTGGACCGATGAGGTTAAAATTGAACTTTTTGGCCGGAATGAGCAAAGATACGTTTGCAGAAGAAGGGGCACAGAATTTAATGAAAAGAACCACTGTCCAACTGTTAAGCATGGGGTTGGATCAATCATGCTTTGGGGTTGTGTTGCAGCCAGTGGCACAGGGAACATCTCACGAGTAGAAGGAAAAATGGATTCAATAAAATTTCAGCAAATTTTGGATGGTAACTTGATGCCGTCTGTGAAAAAGCTGAAGTTAAAGAGAGGATGGCTTCTACAAATGGATAATGATCCTAAACACACCTTGAAATCCACGGGGGATTACATCAAGAGGCGTAAACTGAAGGTTTTGCCATGGCCTTCACAATCTCCTGACCTCAACATAATTGAAAATCTATGGATAGACCTTAAAAGAGCAGTGCGTGACAGACAGCCCAGAAATCTCAAAGAACTGGAAGACTTTTGTAAGGAAGAATGGGCAAAGATACCTCAAACAAGAATTGAAAGACTCTTGGCTGGCTACAAAAAGCGTTTACAAGCTGTGATACTTGCCAAAGGGGCAGTACAAGATATTAACTCTGCAGGGTGCCCAAACTTTTGCAGACGCCATTTTTTTGTTTTCTGTTATTTTGAAAGTGTAAATGATGGAAATAAAATCTAACTTTTGTTGACATATTATAAGAATGTCTAATCTGTAATTTGATGCCTTTTGGAGATTTTTCCATCTTTCCTTGGCTTCTTTATGCACATTAATACAAATTTTTAGCTGGGGTGCCCAAACTTTCGATCCCCACTGTATGTGTATCTCTGTTATTGTACGACTAGCACATGGGAGGTATGTAAGTGTATGATGTGTCTGTTAGTTCTACAGGAATGGAGCTTTGAGAAAGAAAGTTGGGTTCATTATGTGATTCATCATCCGCTCAGCCCGCACTATACTTCTATACAACTCATGCTTCGAACACGAATGTCTTCTGCATCTATACTCCACCTGACTTCCAGGGACAGATCTTCTTTCCTGAAGCTGGAGGTGAGCCACAATGCTGGATGTTAATTACCACAAATAATACATGAAATATTCTCAGATAGTAGCTTTAAGAAAGATATTGCAATTCATCATGCTGGATCATCCTGTCATTAGCTCCCCAGATGAATCTGCACTGCCAGGTAAGGAGGATTAACTGGGTCCAGTCAAAGGAAGCCAAACACACGTGGCCAGTGAGGTAGCAAGGTCAGGACGAGGAACCACGCATGTGTATGCACCATGCCATACAGATAATTGACATTTTCAGGGAAGCCGCACTCTCCTTCCTCTGGACTACACACATCTGGTGTCACTGCTTTCTTGATGAAGGAGCTGAAGTATGGCTCCAAAGTGTATCTTTTTGATAAAGGCTCCTGTTTTAGAATTTGATGTGCGGCTGATGTTCCTTTATTGAATATTATTCTTATTATACAGGATTTATATAGCGCCAACAGTTTGCTCAGCACTTTACAATATAACGGGAGACAATACAGCAACAATACAGTTCAATACAAGTGGGTTAGGAGGGCCCTGCTCCTTGGAGCTTACAATCTAAGAGGGAGGGGCTGTTGGTACAAAAGGTAATAAGTGTGGGGGATGGACTGATAGGAGGAATAGATGATTTGGTTATTAGCTGAAGGCAGGAAAGGCTTCCCTGAAGAGATAGGTTTTCAGAGATTGCATAAAAGTGGGCAGAGTAGGCGATAGTCTGATAGATTGGAGTAGAAAGTTCCAGAGGATGGGGGAGGCTCTGGAGAAGTCCTGGAGATGAGCATGGGAGGAGGAGACAAGGTAGCTAGAGCGCAGGGGGTCATGGGAGGAGTGGAGAGTACGGTTTGGGTGATATTTGGAGACAAGATTGGTGATGTATTTTGGAGTAGAGTTATAAATGGCTTTATATGTTATTGTTTTGAATTTTATCCGTTGGGCAATGGGAAGCCAGTGGAGGGATTGAAAGAGATGGAAGGCAGATATGGAACAGTTAGTAAGGTGGATAAGTCTGGCAGCAGCATTCATGATAGACTGAAGAGGGGATAGCCTGCGATGAGGTAGGCCAAGGAGGAGGAAGTTACAATAGTCAAGGCGAGAGATAACGAGGGAGTAAATAAGTTGCTTAGTGGTTTCAGAGGTTAAGAATGGGTGTATCTTTGAGATGACTATCCCTTCCTTCCTGAAATATGATGATTGACATCCTGGAATCTCCCCATCTGACCGACTACCTTGCTGGCCACAAGTGTGCATCCCTCCAGCGGACCCAATAAATCCTTCTTACCTGACACTGCTGCAAAAAAAATAAAGGGTGATCAGATTACACAGAACAGCTAACAGGACTGTGGATACTTAAATTTGGAAAGCAAAAGCAATACCACTGGTAGATACATTGTTTACAATACGTATGATGGAAAGCAAAAGCACCAATTAATGGTAGACCCATTGTTCATACGTAAAGAACCATAAGGCAAAACATTTTTTTCATTGTATGGATAGAGTAAGCCTAGATTCACACAAATGTGGGTCTGGGAACGCGTGTGATTGGCACCATATGGTTCCATGAGGCTGTGTCCTGAAAATAGGGGTGGGGACTGTGTTTCCCTGTGTTTCCATTGAAGTTAATGGACTGCTGCGCCCGTGTAAACATGACATGCAGGACCTGCACAAGTGTGAACCTAGCCTACCAGGTGATTGCACAAAACACTTCCAGTGCATAGAGTTCTGCCCAGAATCTACTTTACAGTGAATCATAAAAACCAATGGAGTAACATCCTTCAGGTATGCTTTGTCGATGTAGCCCTCCTCATAATCTAATAGACAACTGTAAAGAACACACAGGAGTGGGCACACGCCTAATGTATCACCAAAGGTTTATTGTATAGAATAAAACTTATAGCCAAACAGATACAAAAATAAATGTAAATAGGCGTATGACACTAAATCTCAATCCAGTGCCGGAATAGTTCGGCTAAGCACATTGTGATGCTGTGCTGGCAGCTGACGTGTTTTGAGGGATGGACCCCCTTTTTTAGAGCTCTGAAGAAGGAGGTGCATCCCCTGAAACGTGTCAGCTTGCCAGAGCAGTGTCACGGTGTGTTTTGGCCATACTATTCCCACACTGGATTGAGATTTGGTGTCATACAGCACCTGTATATTTATTTTTGTGAGTATCCAATTGGCTGTATGTTTTGTTTTATACAATAAACCTTCAGTAATGCATTAGGCATGTGTGCCCTCCTGTGTGCTCTTTTACAGTAGCCTATTAGGTGAACCTGACACTATCACATTTTTTTGCCATTAGATTTCTCTCCATTTCCTGTCCTGTGGACAAAATAGGAAGTGAGAGGAGATCCCTCCAAAATGAGGGAATCCCTGGTTGTCACCAGGATCACCAGAACTAATGTTCCCAATGGAAGATTTCCCTTTCTGTTTCTGTTTTGGTGGCAACCCAAAATTTAAGATTTCCTTTCACTTTCATGTGCGATGATAATGATAAATAGGACAAATAGAGAGGGTGAATCTCCCTAACGGGACACAGACAACAATGAAAACTGACAGGGGGTCTAATCCCTCTCCACTCCATCCAAAACTCCAAAAAAGGTTTGTCTATAGTTACAATTTAAATTGTATTTTAATCCAAGAACAAAAATGTAATGTATTGCAGCTCACCAGTCCTTAGATGTGGTGACTGCATTCATTTCTTTTTTTCAGGCTGAGAAAATTTCCAAGACAGTACAGAAATATACCTATTCTGCCAAAAATCCAGTGTGCATGTAGCTTCCTATGCATTGAACTGATATTTAAAACAATGTTATCAGCCATCCCAGCAATCTTTTGTGAACTACAGAACACCTGCCCCCTAGGTTTTAAAGATGAAGATAAGGGGAGGTGACTCTGTGATCCAAACCAGGAGACCAGCCTAGGGTGACAACTCTGCTCTCCATAGATATGTCACAGTGAGCCAGTGTTGTCACCCTAAGCCTGGGTTCACATATATGTATATCGCATGTGATTCACACAGGAACCGCACTGCATTCCTGTGCAAATCACATACGATTTGTGTACGGTGCGATTGGCGCCACACATTTTGTATGGCTCTAATCGCACTGCACCTGCACCAAAAAGGTGCAGGACCCTTTTTTTGGGTCCGCACTAGAATTGGATTGCATGGGTATTCACACCTATGCAATCCGATTCTGCACATCGCACAGCGTTTTGAAGACTGCTTTCAGGGTGTTGTTAACTTAACATACACACCCGCAGCAGTTCGCATGAATGGGGTGCGATTCTGATGCGGTGTGGAATTCACACTGAAAACGTTGCAAATTCCGCACCGCATCATTGTGAACCAGGGCTAAGACAGAAAGTATGTTACTGGCAGGATCATCAGGTGAAAGCTGCAATATATGGAAGTTTTGTGCTTTAAGACCACAAAATGTTTTTGGTGATAACAGGAGTCTCCCTTGTGTTTGGTTTTTTGATTCTTTTTATCACCACACATCCTTTAGTGTCAGGTATGTCTAACATCCCCCTTTGTAAAGAAGAGGAATATTTAAAAAGATTTTTTAATAATGCAGCTTTCTTTCCATACTGGTAAATACTATAAGACCTGTCACTCCATGTACCTTTGTCTCCTGCAGATTAGTGGAGGACACTTTGCTGTTAGTTTCAACTATGGTGAGCGGAGTCATGTGATCAGGCTGCCGGACCTGCGTATAGATCACGGGCGATGGGCACTGCTGAGCATGGAGCGCTATGGCAATGTGTTTACTTTGCGTATTGAAAGAGGAGGCGGTGTCCGAGAAGTGACAGCTACTACGGGAAAAAGTGGATTGTTCGAAGCTGATCCATCAAGTGTTATGTTAGGAAACCGCTTACCCCAACAAGCTGGGAATGATTTTCAAGGTAATTGTATATACAGAGCATCATAAAACAGGTTGAGTTGTAATACATTTTAATCCACTTTTTATTAAACTCAGGTCATAAATTAAAAAGTTTATGCTGAAATCTAGTGAAAACACGTTGGTTGCAATAGCACTTAAGGCATCTTAAAGGATTCTTAAAGCATGCTAAAGTGGCCTCTCAGTCAATGTTATTTCTTTTATTTTACTGTTAAGGATAACTTGATTTTTGGAATGTTATCCTCTAATTTCCCCCCCACCCCACCACCACCCATTCTCTATCATTCCTAAAATATCACAAAGTCACCTTTGCATGCTCCAGCCACAGGGTTTTTCCATGCATGAGCACAGGAAGCTAAGGGCCAGCCAGAGGATCTGGTAGAAGTGTGGATCTAGTAGAAGTGTGCATATTGCTGTCAGTATTTGGCGCGGGGGGGTTGTTAAATTAAAGGATAACTGTAAGGAAACATTTAAGTAATATTTAGCAAATCTTAAGTGCTACAACACATAAGCTATACAGACTCCCCACCTGCACAGCATAGTTTGACAGGTACACATGTGAGAGAGGGCTTTGTGATTGGCTAGTAATATTAACAAGGGCACAAGTCCCTAACCCCACTCCTGTCCTGCTAGAATACTACCCCTCCTGCTGAGACCAAACCCTCCGCCATATTGTGCCCCACTCCATAGCATAGGCCTCCATATGACATTCCCGAGTTGACCTTTATTTCCCGAGGAAGGAATGTCCACACAAATGATTAGAATTGCTGCATAACAATCACAACGCATTGACATACATTCGGGAGTCACTTGACATTACACAGTCAATCACATTTAGTGGACGATCCACAGCAATCACATGCAAAAGCATATGCAGCACTTTTAAGCAGCCATCTCCCTCTAATAGTCTTTCCTTCCACCCAGGGTCATTAGAACTCACTGAAATGAGATCTCTGCAGCCACCTCCTCCATAGGTACACCTCTCCAGCGACCCTCTCCTGGAGGATAGCCTCACTCAGGGAACTCTTGACCTGCCCTAAAAGGCCTTTTGCAATCTGCCCTAGCCCCCACCTCCATAATGGTCAGAAAGTCTATAGCTGGCTCACCTGGGTGCAGGTCTACTCCTTCCTAGCCTCCTGCAGGGACTCCGTGTCCCACATGGAAGAAAATTATATTTGAAATATATTTATAAAATATTCTTCCCAAAAATATTGCCATATATTTGAAATGCTACAATTTTGGCCATATTCAATATATTTCTATATATATATATATATATACACACTGCATGTTGAATGTTTTTTTTATATATTACAGAATATATGAAAGATATTTTTAAAAATATATTTTTTTAAAGTATATTCTTCAGATTTTTTTTAACATATAAAAAAGTAATTTTAACATATATTTTTACATATATTTGTAAATGCATTCCAAAAATGTAGATTTGTAATTTTTAAAGACATACAGTATATTTGAAATGTATTTTTAAAAATATGTGTCATATATTTTGTAATAAAAACGCATTTCAACATGCAATATATATATATATTTATTGAAATATATTTTGAAATATATTGAATATGGCCACAATTGTAGCATTTCAAATATATGTCAATATATTTGGAAAGAATATTTTTCAAATATATTTCAAATATATTTTTCTTCCATATGGGGTGCTAGTTACATCTGTGCTGGTGTGGGGTTCTTGGCTACCATGCCCCAAGTGCACTAGGGCTCCTCCGGACCTAGCTTATAACTGGGCATTGGCTCACGTATGACATCATTGCAGGAGGGCTCTACCTAAAAGTGGCCTAACACCTGATGACACTGACTACTGTAACCAGACACTATTCTGGTGCAGAGCCCCCTAGTGGTAAAATAGCTAAACACACCTGCCTACTGGGACAAGTGCCCAGTACTAGATCCACAAGTTCTGTGTGGTGGACTGTGCATTGCCCATTCACTAATATGGGCTGTCTGCATGCAGCTCAGGGCTAGGAAAGAAAAGTAATCAAAGGGCTAGTCACGCTGTACAAGTGTCTGTGTGAATGAGCTGTACATTCTCATACTCACAGCCCATAGTTTCTATATAGCTTGTAATATGTTTAGCTCTGCTTGCAAAGTAGCCAGAGGCTTGTTTACATTTTATAATCTGCAGAACCAGAAGGGGAACAGGATGTCCTTATCTGCAGATTGAACTACAACATTTAATGTTTGTTTTCTGTCATGTCAGTGAAATCGATGAATATTTGTCTTCATGATCTAAGAGAGAGAAACTTTAATGGGCCCTGTTATGTTACTTGTGCACAGGATGTTTACGGGACGTGCGCATCAATGGTCTTGTGCTGCCGTTGGATGGAGAGGGTGATGAGCACAGCTCCGTTGTCAGCTCCCAGGGAATCAGTATTGGGTGCCACTCGGATGTCTGCAGGAACCATCCCTGCCCCTCTCACCTCAACTGCATTGATTTATGGAGAAAATATGAATGCAGGTACAATACTGGACAGTAAACCATTCTGTGATGACCTCATGGTAAGAGGTGGGGTTTACTACTCTTAGATCCCACAAGGCTGGCCATACATTATACAATTTTCTTACAATTTTCTCTCCACTTTCTGCTCAATTTCCTTTAGATTTATCTTCAACTATGTAGCGCAAGGGCCTACCTAATTGTATAAAGTTGAAAGTGTTGTTTAGGTTTGACCTCCTATTATATGGTTTTTGGTAAATCTAAAGTAAATTTCTTAATAAAATTGTGTAGTGTATGGCCATAGATGGGTCGAAAAGCATCTGTTTTTTTAAAAAAAAACCGAAAAATCGGACGTTCAATAGGCCGACGTTACCACCAACGGTAAAAAAATCAGCCAATTTTCATCCCGTCTACGGCCGGCAATTAATTGCTTCTGTTCCTGCAGAGAGCTCTGCTATTATATTTTACATTAAAAAGTATTGCGGTTGCAACATTGTATCTATTTGTATCCATTTCGGATACAGATGTTTTTATTCGGATACAAATAGATATATTGTTGTAACCGCAATACTTTTTAATGTCAAATATAATAGCGGACTGGAATTCTTCTTCTTCCTTCTTCCTTCCTTCTTCTTTCTTCCTTCCTTCTTCTTTATTCCTCTTCTTTATTCTTCTTCTCTCTCTCATGCGCAGATTTTGTATCGGTAAAAAGATCGGCCGATTTGCCCATCATTGCTGCGAAAATCGGCCGATCTGCAAAATCGGACGATTTTTTTCCAACTTTGCCGATAAAAAAAATGTGCCAAAATCCAGAAAAATGGGCGGCCAATTAACCCATTAACGGAGCGAAAATCAGCTGATTTTTTTTTTTCGGCCGAAAAAACAGCCGATTTTCGACCCATCTATGGCCTGCATAAGTCTCTGATTCATGGAGCTTAGAAGAAGCTCCAGGGCTGCTGAAAGCTCTCTGGTATATTGCTCACAATTATTTTCAAGTATGCATTTTTTTTATATAGAAAAATGTTTATTACCTGCCTCAATACCAGCATGTCACACCCTCTTCCTTTTCAAGCCATTTTTCAGTTTTCAGTGTAGTGTTTGACTGACAATTACTCGGTAATGCAATAGTATACACCAAACACATTTTATATCATTTTTAGACAGATGGAGATTTCTTTTGATGGTATTTAAAGTCTAAGTTTACTTAAAGTGATTGTAAAGGCTGAAGGTTTTTTACCTTTATGTCTCCTAGATTGTAAGTTCGAAAGAGCAGGGCCCTTGAATCCCTCATATTCTGTTTGTTACTGTATTGTCTCATGTTCTGTCCCCCACTATAATGTACAGCGCTGAGCAAACCTTTTAGCGCTATATAAATACTACTGTATAATAATAAGAATAATATTCTATGCATGATGGTAAAAAACCTTCTGTGTGCAGCAGTGCCCCCAGCCCCCTCAATAATTGCCTAAGCCCCCTCTGAGCCAGCGACATTCTTGACAGCCTCTGCTATTTGGGGACTCTTCCTCCTCATTGGCTAAGACAGCAGCTGGATGAGGAGAGAAGCCAATAAGGAGAGAGTGGGAGGGCAGGATGAAGACATGGTTCTATGTGTCTTATGGACGCGTAGAGCAGAGGCTCGGGAATGAGTACGCAGTGGTGCCCCCAGGGCTTGCGGCTTTCCCTGGGGGCACTGCTTGAGGGAGTGCCGGCAGGGACCTGAAAAGAAGAGGATTGGGGCTGCTCTCTGAAAAATCACTACACAGAGCAGGTAAGTATGGACATGTTTGTTATTTAAAAAAACAAACAAGATTTGACAAAAAAGTGTCATTTTAAGGAAACAAAAATCAGCACAAGGGATATTACTTACATTCAGTGCTGGACTGTCCTGATTTAGCAGAAATCTTCCTCCTTCCATTAAGCTGTAGTACTGGCTTCTATGAATGCTAGGCAGAAAAGGCGGTGTATTCAGACACTCTTGAGTGTATGTCACAGCTCCCTTACTTCTATTACTTCTAAATCAGGACAGAACAGCACAGGGGGCACATCACACTGAATTTAAGTAATATCCCTTGTGCTGATTATTTATTTATCTTGTAAAATTAGACTTTAAAGTGGAACTAAAGGCATACATACTTTCCTTAGTCAAAAGGCCGACACCTGCAAGCTACTTAGCCAGCTCTGGCATCTTCTCACTGGCTTTTTCCAGGTGCAGATCCTTAGCCGGTTTGGTTGTCTGGCGTCAGATGACATCACTCCCGGGCTTGCTTGGGAGTGCAGTCATCCTGGCACACTGGCAGCGTGTCCGAATGTAAACTGATCTGCGTATGTGCTGCTCAGTATACATTCCGCTGATGATTGCGAATAGGCAGATAAGTGTTAACATTTCATGTCTCTACTACAATAAAAAAAAAAACCCTGCCAGTTCCCAATTTTTAACTTTTTACGTTTAGTTTACCTTTTTTCTTCATATATTTTCATTTCTAATAAATAGTGATTAAAGTTGTTTCTTGGCATAAAACTTTAATTTGGTTTGTATTAAAAAAAAGGTGATCAGGCCAGACAGGAACATGAAAGGGTCGTGGTATGATAAGTTTTGATGAATATAATCTTTCCCCTGTTTAGGGATCTGCTGCTGCCTTTTGCTTTTGTTTACTCAATTTCCTTCAGAGCTGATAAATTGACAAAAAGAAAAGTCGCTGTACAGAGGAGCATTTGACCATCAGTTCTTTCTATCATTCCTTTCTTCCTTTTCCATTATGAGAGGAACGGGAGAGCTGGCTGTGTGTAAACCCAGTCAGTGTTTACAGTACACTTGTGATCGCTGTGATTGGTTCACAGTGGTCACAAGGCACACAGCCACTCTGATTGGTTCATTTGATTTTGCTTTTGATATGCGCTATTGACAGCATGATCACAGGCATTGTGATCAAACCTGTCATGCGCATGTGCTCTACAAACAAAGACAATTTTACTTTAATGTTCTCCTAGACCATTAGGTGCTCTGACTGGTTGTTCAACTACAGTGGCTGGTTGTGAGGTGAATAAACATCAAATCCCATATTTAAAAGATATAATAGAAACAAAATGCACAAATAAAGCTGCATCCAATCATAGTCCATAGTTTACATAAACTTTCCTATGAAATGTTCTGGCAGAGTTAGCAATGTTTTACTCTCCTGATCATGGCTGGATCTAGGGGGGGTGCAGGGGTGGGCTGCGCTCCCCAAGATTTCTGTTACCCCCCCCCCCCCCCCCCCCGCTGAGTACCTCCCCCCATTCCCACACTCGGGACAACTGGGACTTGAATGCACAGCCTGGTGCAGTGATCTGTGTTCAGGAGAGAGGCTGTGCTGTGCCTTCTCCCTCCTGTCAGTGCAGCACTCCTCCACTCATCACACAAACACACACAGGATCACTATCTCGGACTGCGCACACACACAGGATCACTATCTCGGGCTGCACACACACAGGATCGCTATCTTGGACTGCACACACACACAGGATCGCTATCTTGGACTGCACACAGACAGGATCGCTATCTCGGACTGCACACACACAGGATCGCTATCTTGGACTGCACACAGACAGGATCGCTATCTCGGGCTGCACACACAGACAGGATTGCTCTCGGACTGCGCACACACACAGGATCGCTATCTCAAACTGCGCACACACACACTATCTTGGATTGCTATCTCAGACTGCACACAAAAACAGGATCGCTATCTCGTATTGCACACACACAGGATCGCTATCTTGGACTGCGCACACACACATGATCACTATCTTGGACTGCACACACACAGGATCGCTATCTCGGACTGCGCACAAAAACAGGATCGCTATCTCGGACTGCACACACAGGATCGCTATCTCGGACTGCGCACAAACAGAATCGCTATCTTAGACTGTACACACAACGGATCACTATCTCGGACTGCACACACACAGGATCGCTATCTCGACTGCGCACACACACAGGATCGCTATCTCAGACTGCACACAGACAGGATCGCTATCTCGGACTGCACACACACAGGATCGCTATCTCGGACTGCGCACATACACAAGATCACTATCTCGGACTGCACACACACAGGATCGCTATCTCGGACTGCGCACACACAGGATCGCTATCTCGGACTGCACACACGCAGGATTGCTATCTCGGACTGCACACACACAGGATCACTATCTCGGACTGCACACACGCAGGATCGCTATCTCGGACTGCACACACACAGGATCACTATCTCGGACTGCACACACGCAGGATCGCTATCTCGGACTGCACACACACAGGATCGCTATCTCGGACTGCGCACACACACAGGATCGCTATCTCGGACTGCGCACACACACAGGATCGCTATCTCGGACTGCACACACACAGGATCGCTATCTCGGACTGCGCACACACACAGGATCGCTATCTCGGACTGCGCACACACACAGGATCGCTATCTCGGACTGCGCACACACAGGATCGCTATCTCAGACTGCGCACACACACAGGATCGCTATCTCAGACTGCGCACACACACAGGATTGCTATCTCAGACTGCACACAAAAACTGGATCGCTATCTCGTATTGCACACACACAGGATCGCTATCTCGGACTGCGCACACACACATGATCACTATCTCGGACTGCACACACACAGGATCGCTATCTCGGACTGCGCACAAAAACAGGATCGCTATCTCGGACTGCACACACAGGATCGCTATCTCGGACTGCGCACAAACAGAATCGCTATCTTAGACTGTACACACAACGGATCACTATCTCGGACTGCACACACACAGGATCGCTATCTCGGACTGCGCACACACACAGGATCGCTATCTCAGACTGCACACAGGCAGGATCGCTATCTCGGACTGCACACACACAGGATCGCTATCTCGGACTGCGCACATACACAAGATCACTATCTCGGACTGCACACACACAGGATCGCTATCTCGGACTGCGCACACACAGGATCGCTATCTCGGACTGCACACACGCAGGATCGCTATCTCGGACTGCACACACACAGGATCACTATCTCGGACTGCACACACGCAGGATCGCTATCTCGGACTGCACACACACAGGATCACTATCTCGGACTGCACACACGCAGGATCGCTATCTCGGACTGCACACACACAGGATCGCTATCTCGGACTGCACACACACAGGATCGCTATCTCGGACTGCGCACACACACAGGATCGCTATCTCGGACTGCGCACACACACAGGATCGCTATCTCGGACTGCGCACACACAGGATCGCTATCTCAGACTGCGCACACACACAGGATCGCTATCTCAGACTGCGCACACACACAGGATCGCTATCTCGGACTGCGCACACACACAGGATCGCTATCTCGGACTGCGCACACACACAGGATCGCTATCTCAGACTGCACACACACAGGATCGCTATCTCGGACTGTGCACACACACAGGATCGCTATCTTGGACTGCACACACACAGGATCGCTATCTCGGACTGCACACACACAGGATCGCTATCTTGGACTGCACACACACAGGATCGCTATCTCGGACTGCACACACATTGGATATTGTCTAATGAAAGGTTGGTCAGCATAGTGACACTGTTGTTCAGTTTGAGAGGGTCTGGAACCTTTAGATTCAATATCTTCAAACAGCTATATAGAGAGCACTCTGGTTGCTTCTTTTCTGGATCTACTTGCCCATTCTATCTATTCCTTTTTTTTTTTTTTGTCTGTCAGTGTGTCTGTCAGTATGTGTCTCCACGGATGGTGATTGTCATAGATTCTGTGTTGACACTTTATGCCGTCTGCGTAACAGTTTTGCACTTTGTTCACTTTTGAATGAAGCAAGCAAGGTCAATTATAGGCCTTATTCTTGTATGTTTTTGTCTACCTATCTAACCTTTGTAAAACTTTTTCAATAAATACTATTGAAACAGAAATGTAGGGCTATGAATTAATTACTTCTATGCTGTCCTTTCTGGGATACAAATTTGACCATGTACACCTCTATTGCTACAACCAATAATGTGCAGGGACCAGAAGCAGCCAGTTAATGGTAATACTGTTGTATCGGTAAGGTAAGTTATTAACATATTACTGGTAAATCCTACAGTCCTTTTTATAATACTTTATGGAGCTCTTCTTTAACCTCAGGTGCCAAGATTACTCCTTGGCTTCACAGTAAAAGTACAAGATGCCACAAAGATCCTACAAAAAAACATCTATTAAATGAATGAGTCAAACAGACCCATTAAACCACAGAAGCACTAAAAAAAGATGGTGGAATTTTCAATAATTCAATATCCATTTGGGTTTTGTTTACTACCACTAGATACCAAATGACTGAAGATCATCCTAAACATATTTATGCAGTGATTCTGTTATTCCCTTTATGCTTTTGTCAAATATGTAGTCCATGTTTCTCTGGTTTAGGTGCCCAACAGATAAAGTTGAAGTCATGAATAATGTAACAGGACAGAAGCACTGTCATCCATCACCTTGTACGAGGTGGAGCTGTCGAAACGGGGGCAATTGTGTGGCTCAGTCCCAGCAAAAGTTTATCTGCCAATGCAGAAAAGGCTTCAAGGGTAGGGCCTGTGAGACCATCCAGGCCAGAGCTGGGAAGATTGTTGGACTGAGCTCAGGATCCATTTTAGCCATCAGCATGTGTCTTCTGATCTTCATAGGTAAGATTGTGGTTCTTTTTCCTTATTTTCACATTGTTAACTTGTCTGACAAATAGTATATAAAATGGAAGTTGGTAAAAGATATGTCCTGCCATGCACATATAGGTGTATCTTTTACAGAGCACATAAATTAGTCTTTATATTTTTTTGAGGCCCAGTAATAAAGGGAAGAGCACCAAACACTGATTTCAGATTTCAATAGACACAAGTGGATTTATTTGAAGGTAGTCTGCAGATATAACAATTGTGCTCTGTATCTGATTCGGCAAACTTTAACAAATCATTTCAACCCTGATATTCATCTTGTACATCCTGGTGCTCTGCTCACTAGTTCCTTATGATATCCAGTTGGAATGGTCCTGAATTTAAGCCTGTAAGAGCAGGGTCGGACTGACCATTTGGAAACTCGGGCACTGCCCGAGGGCCCGGGGTCAGTAGGGGACCCCATGAGATGCCCCTGGTACCTTTTTCATAGGCTTTTTTGAGTTTGGGCAAGGACACAGGGGCCCCATGATCCCCTATTGCCCGGGTGCCCCATGAGTTGTCAGTCCGCCCCTGTGTAAGAGTGAAGGAGAAGTGCATCCCTGTCCTCTGTAGTTTTAAGAGATGAGATGAGTACAGAACAGAATCAATTGACAAGAGCCTGCAGCCTACTAGCACTGTCAAAAACTTCTGACTCTGGCTGCATAAATTGAGTGGACCTTCTGTTTAGTAAATGTTTATTTTATTTCCTGGAAAACGTTCACAGTTCACTGACTTTATTTGTTGCCTGGTGCAGCCCTGTGGGAGCTCCCTGGCTTCTCTTAACGTCTGAGGACCTGGGGGAGCTCCCAGCACTGATTGTTAATTTTTATGCATAGTTTGTGTACACATGGATGAAATTTAGAGTGTCTTCACTCAAACCTCAATTTTAAGTGGTTACTAGTGGGCTAAGACACTCTCCGGGTTTCTGGCTTCTGCACTATTGAAACACTTCATTGTTGAAAAACCCCATCGAGTTCCCACCTAGGTCATTACATATTATATATATATATATATATATATACCAAAAAAAAGCTGAAAATTGGGACTTTTGAGGCACAACGTAGGCATAAAAACATGATTTTTTTTCCAGTATATATTTACAATATTAGAGATGTGGCACTTAAACACAGATTTTAATATTAATAGGTCATTACAAAATCAAGCAAGCAAATCTCACCTCATCTTATGCTTTCATAATATAGGTGGAGAATCTAGTAATCAGAGGGTAAAAGAGTTTTGATGCAGCTGTGACTGATGGTGGTAGCCACTGATAACTCATGTGCAACCGTAAATCTGAATTATTTTATTTTAAGAACATAGAAAGCTAGTAAATCTCAAGCTGGCCATACACAAGTTCCCTGTGCACCAGCCAAAATTCTCTTCATTGTTGGGCTTGTTGACACAATCCCACCTGGTATCCTTCAAATAATCAAAGAAGCTGGCAGAAAAGTTTTGGCTGAACAGCAGCTGCATACAATCAGATGCAGCTGCTCTTTGGGTATTCTTACATCCACTGGTGCTGGCTGTCACTGTACAATAGCTGGCACTGCAGATTCATCAATCTGCACTGTATAGATTGATAGATTTTTTTATTCTTCCAGCCCGCAAAAAAAATCTATCATTGTATGGTCACATTAAACTGGACCAGTGTTTCATTATTATCAGAGAGTGATTATTATTATTATTATTATTATACAGGATTTATGTAGCGCCAACAGTTTGCTCAGCTCTTTACAATATAACGGGAGACAATACAGCAACAATACAGTTAAATACAAGAGGGATTTGAGGGTCCTGCTCCTTGGAGCTTGCAATCTAGGAGATGAGGCATTATTCTTTATCTGAAATGAAGCAATCTTCTGGCCATTATAGTAGTCATAGAAACAAAATGGACTTTTACCATAACTCCCAGGAGACCAATACAATAGAATGTGTATAATTTATACAAATCAATAAAACCACAAGTTTATTGTACAAGCTTAAAAAATAGGTGAAGAACACCTCCAGCATATAAGAATGCAAATAGAAGACTATACATAAGGTGCTTTAAAAAAATATATGCATTGCACACTAGCACATTATGTGAAACTCCCCTTAAAATGAAAGCCCTCTACCGCTATAGAGGCTTCCATCTTCACCTGGTCTTTCTTTCGGGATTGTGAGCTCCGGCGGTCTGGCTGGCTGAGCTGTGATTACATCACTCCTGCGCATGCACACGGGAGTCTTGGGACATGGCACAGTGCTCTGAAGGAGCGGTATGGGTATGCCATTCCTTCAGACTGCATGCGCCGACTGTAAAGAAACCTGAATATCTTTTAAATGTGCACCTATATTCATTTTACCTATTCATTTTACCTACAGGTCAGCAGCTTTATTATAAGCTTACCTGTAGGTACAAATTAACAAAGTGGTTTACTACTTTAACAAATATTCTGTCAACTCCTTTTTTTGAGACCGCTTCATCAAGACATGGATACCTTTCTTCAAAACTGTTGTAGTGCAAATCTGAAGGTAGAATGAATGTTCATGAAAATTCCAATCTAGAAAAATATAAAAACAATATAAAAAACTTTTCATATCAAACAAAAAAGAAAAAACCAAAACCAATTCGAAAAATATATACATAAAAACAATAATCTGGCTTTTACATGAGAAGTAGCACTCATCCTCCCTTATTTGAACTAGATTTTTATTCTACCTTCATCTAAAATTCAGCAGTAATCTGTCTTATTTGGATGAATATTCTGACTTTATTTAAGATGGGTTGATGTTCTTGTTGCAGCCTTGTTGGTCTCCTACACAGTATGGAGTCAGTGGGGAAGATCAAAGTTTCGTAAAGGAGGAGTTTATCACATTCCTGCAGAACATGAAAGCTGGGAAGATATCAGAGAGAACACCTTGAATTATAATGAGGGTGGAGGAGAACATGACCAGGTACACAGTATCACATAGTCTCTGAATTGAATTCCTGATTATCGTTTTTATTTTATACCTTTGAACCAGGGGAGGACTGATAACTCATGGGGCCCCTGGTCAATAGGGGATCATGGGGCCCCTGTGTCCTTGCCCAAACTCAAAAAAGCCTATGAAAAAGGTACCAGGGGCATCTCATGGGGCCCCTTACTGACCCCGAGGCTCTCGGGCAGTGCCCGAGTTTCCAAATGGTCAGTCCGCCCCTGCTTTGAATAAATATTGCCTCTGATAGTGAGGTTTAAGGTTGGATTATTGCCAGGCAGCACAGTGGCTAAATGATTGGCACTTCCGCCTGGCAGTACTAAGGTCGTTGGTTCGAATCCCAACCATGGCGCCACCTGCCTGGAGTTTGCATGTTCTCCCTGTGCCTGCGTGGGTTTCCTCTAAGTACTCCAGTTTCCTCCCACACTTTAAAGACATGCTGGTAGGTTAAGTGGATCCTGTCTAAATTGGCCCTAGTATGTGTATGTATGAATGTAAGTTAGGGACCTTAGATTGTACGCCCCTTGAGGGTTAGGGACTGATGTGAATGTACAATATATATGTGAAGTGCTGTGTAAATTGACAGCGCTATATAAGTACCTGTAGTAATAATAATAATAATAATAATAATAATAAAAAAAGCATCCTTTAATAAGGTCCTACATCATCTGGGCATAGTTGATTCAATAGATGGGCACTAAAGATATTTTATCCAAATAGTACCATTAAAGTCTGACCAACATATTTACAGAGGAGGCAGTTTGTGGTCTGAAGATATAACAAGCCCATCTGTTTGCTAGAATCATGGCATTCAGGGACCAATATCCTGAGGTATTGTTCCTAGTAACGTGAAAGACTCTCCCTTTAACCCTGAATCCCCACTATTGCAAATCTTTGATACTACACACATGCTGCCAATTCATCCTATTTTATACCATATAAAAGTGTACTGTTAAATCAACTTATTTTATCCTCACTTACATAGCAAAAAAATGATGAGGAGAATAGTAAGGTTTTTTTTGGATTAACAATCAGAATGGGATTGTATCAACTATTTCAAGAGGTATATAAGCCAGAGAATATTACAGGCTGGAGGGACTCTTTAAACCCCTGGTGCCCAACCTGTAGCCCAAGGGCCGCATTAGGCCCTCAGACCCAAGGCTGCTGTTAGAAACCACGGGGCCCCATACAGCAAACCTGACAGCCCCCCCCCCCCCCCCCCCCCCTAAAAAAAACACAGTTCACTATGCTTCAGTTAGGAATGAACAGTGAAGTGAGTAATTGGTACTGATCACACGTTGTGTTCATCATCCTGAAGGATTCTATTGTAAGCTAGCAGTTACCGGTGGGAAGAAGAGGAGGGAACCAAGGAGCACTATGGGGGTGGGCACACACACTGGGGCCTGGGCAACATGAGGAAATATATGGTTCACAAGGAGGTGATTTGTGCAACGAGGGGGGGGGGAATTTCTGCAATAGATCCCTTGTATGGCTCTCTCTGCAGCAGCTGAACACCATTAGGACGGAGAGGAGAAGACGCCAATCTTCAGCTGCTGCAGAGAGAGCCATACAGGGGATCGGTTCCAGTAATTGCACTCCCACCATGTCGATCACCCTCCCTACCCACAAACAATTTACTCAGCTGCCTGGGCCCCCCTGCTGACCTGGGCCCGGTACAGGAGGAATGGTGGTACCCCCTTATCCAGCTCTGCTCAGACCTCAGCCATCTGTAATGGGAATATTGATTAGGGTAACAGCATTGATCTCTACTAGCCCTGTGTAATATGTTCTCAATTTTGTATTGTCTTTTGTAGTATATCCCCAACTATATATGTAGCATGTCCACAGTCTCTATCATTTCCTCTATTAGGTCTGCAGTTTCTGACAATCCTCTCAATCATTACATATACTGAACATTACATGCAGCCCTTTGCTGATGTTGGGGGCCACATTTGAGGTCCCCTTTTAGCTCATAAATTGACAACCACTGCTTTGAATGGTGCCACAATTTGTAATGATATATAACATTTGATCAGAACACTTCTAGATGTACAAGTGTGCTTTAGAAAACTAACCCACGATTTTTGGATACGGATATGGCAGACATATGTGCCTTGAGATAATTCGTTTGTCTTGCGCCTCATAGTCTTGCTGCTTGAGCTCTCTCTACATAGAGACTAATGTATACCATATTTATCGAACATTACAGATGGTAAATATTATTATTATGGTTACTTTTTGCATATGCTTTATTGTGGGAATTGGATGCATGTTGCTCTAAAATCTATTCTAAAACGTCCTATCCTCCCCGTCTGCGATACGGGAGAAACATGTATGAAGATGTGCACGGACTGCGATCCGTGTATGATCTGTTTTGTCATTTTTTTTTGGAAAAAGATATATAACAGCGCTGGAAGAAAACAGTGCTGTCACAGACAGACTAAGTGGAGCACTAAACAACAAAGGCAAAAGAGTTGTAAGTAGCCATTGCTTTGTCTATTACTACATTTATACTCATCATTTTGAAATATTTTCAACCTCAAAACAAGACATCTGTGTTTTTAAAAAATGCCTCCCCACGACAACCAGAGTGAGCGTTTCTTTTATGTTTCAGAGGAGCAGTTTTCCCACAATATCCACTGAAAATGCAAGTGTACCGGTCTCTGCAGACAGCCATTTGTCATGTTTTTGCTGTGGCTCCACCCCTTGACAGCCAACCAAGCCTGAACTGTGTGATCTGAATGACCAGGTGAGCACACCTCCAACCCTGAGCATGACAGACTGTGCGAACAGAGGTGGAGCTAATTCAGTCCACATGATCAATGAATGCTGGCAGAGACTGGGCTTTTCCACACTGCATAATTGATAATGACAAAATAAAAATGCCTTAAAAAGCCCTGACCACTCAAAAGTAATACTTCAGTTATATATAGTTAGGTTGAAAAAAGACAAAAGTCCATCTAGTTCAACCAACAGAAAAAAATAAAGAACCTTTATATACATAATCCTATACCTACAGGTGATCCAGAGGAAGGCAATGCAGGGCATATGGTTGTTGCCATGTTGATCCATATATTACCTAATATCCCAACCAGAATTCCCAGAACGTTTTTCCTGCTACAGTTATTATATCACACTTCCTCCTCAGATTCTGCATATATAGATTAAACACACACGTCCTGTTACCCAGGGGACTAGGTACATTTAGTATTTTGTCCCAACTTCTTATGTGCTATCTAAGGCTAGCTGTGAGGTCCAGCACAGCACCCTTTCTCCCTTCCATAGCTGTCCAACAAAACAGATATCAAGGAGATGTAAGATTTGACAAATTGTCTTTTACTTCCTCTCCAAGCACTTGTCTGCTTGCTTGGAATTTGTGTTGGGCAGGTGCTTGGAGGCAAGGAAAAGTATCATTCATCAAAGCAGCCATCTCCTTGCTAGCTGTGAGGTTGGAGGACCATCGAAGGAGGTGCCTTGTCCAGCCTCACAGCTAGCCTTAGACAGTGTATAGGGAGATGGGACAAAATCATACACATGCTTTGCCCCCTATGGAACAGAACACATTAATAACATTTAAAGTGAGACTTCTTCTTTAAACAACTGGTGAGCCTAAAATCTTTTGTCATGGTTTTGTGGGAATTGCCTGTTGAACTATTTTGAGAATTCTGAAGCTTCAATATGTTTAAAATAAGGTTGTGGGGAGATATATGATAAATTATGGGACTATTTATAGTTGGTACTTGCCTGTCCAGTTCCATTCTGCACATGTACCCTTTTAAAAGTCACTCATCATACTTGTAAATGTCCTCTAGATTTACCCATGGAATGAATAAAGGCACTATATTGCTGAAGTTGACCACCTACCTACATGCAAATATGCTGAGGAGGGTAGTTGAGTGCAGGTTGAATACTGCACCATTGATTGCATTATGCATATAGTGCAAACTATGTGCTAAAATCTGTCTGAATTTAAAAAAAAAACTGCTACATATTATATATAATTAGCCTTTATGGGTGAATGTTGGGCTGTTCAAAAAGGCAAAGCTTCAGCAATTTCTGCCTTCCCTCCTATTTTGACAGACCGCAAGCTGCCAATCATAGAGGTACATACGAACGTGTAGGAATGGAAGAGCCAGAGATTTGTCTGCAAAAATGGCTGTGAATTTGTAGGGGTTGTAGCCTCCTCTAGGTGCCTACACATTATTCCTTCCTGCCTCTGTTAAATTTAGTTATTTCTCAGGAATGTCTTCATTTGTCAAGAAGTAAATATATGACATAACTAACCTGTTTTTTCATTTACAGAATGGATACAACCTTCAGAAACTGAAAAAAACAGACAGAGTAAATGCTAATCAGTATTATGCTACCTCAGATGTCCCCTCAACGTCAAACTTGTGTCACGCTCCTCACCGTCTACACGGTGCTGGTACATCAAGGGGAAGAGATTATCCTGAACAGACTAAAGCTGAGACCAGCATCCCCAGATTTCAGGAATATGTTTCCCAAATAGTTTGGGCTGCAGATAATGACAAAAAAAGCCAACCTCCTGAGCTCCTCCACATGTACTCCACAGAAGGTGATGGCTCATTGGCTGGGAGTCTCAGTTCTCTGACCTCTTCCAGTATTGATGAAGACTTGAACTATGACTACCTCTGTGAATGGGGACCCAAGTTTAATAGACTCCAAGATCTGTATCCGGTGTTGGACACGGAGGCATAGCTAGCAGCTGACCTATGTTTGTAGAGCAACCCAGACACCCACAGTTATACACTAATTTATAACCCAGGTCTTTTTTTATATCAAATATACAATAAATATCTTAGTTAAAAAAGGAGAATTTTGATGCGGTGATGAAACAGATGTGTCTTTATTTTCTGTTCTTTTCACAAGTTCTGAGAAGACGTAAAGGAACATTCATTGTCCAAACAGTGACATCATTAAGAATGAATTTATCATACAGACTAAACTTTGTTACAGGCATAACACCCGAGGAGGAAGACGTTAAAGACAAAGAAGGAGATTTACTAAAACTGAAACACTCAGAATCTGGCGCAGCTGTGCATGTTAGCCAATAAGCTTCTAACTTCAGCTTGTTCAATTAAAGTGATATTAAAGAAAATTCAAAAAGTAATAACAAAAGATATACCTACCTGCTCTGTGCAGGTCCCCTGCACAGCCCCTACTAGCCCCTACCTCCTGCTGAGTGCCCCAGGCAGGCTCACTTCCAAGCCTCTGCTCTGCGTGTCCATTCACACACACAGCCACAGCTCAGCCCGAACCCTTCCTCTCCTCATTGACTCACTGGCTGTGATTAACAGCAGTGGGAGCCAATGGTTCCCACTGCTCTCTCAGCCAATGAGGGAGAGTCCCTGGAGAGCAGAAGCTCTCATGCACATTGCTGAATCACGATGGGCCTCAGGTACGTATTAGGGGGGCTGCTGCACACAGGAGGTTTTTTTTTACCTTCATGCATAGAAACCCATTGAGCCTTTACAACCACTTTAAGATTTTAGCAATAAAACTTAGAGGTTGGCCATTAACCCCTTGACGCTGACGTCACACAAATATGCGTCCTCACAGAACTAGGCTTTTTTCCGTGGGGCCGCATATTTGCGTACCTGTCTTTGCCATGTGGCGTGCTCCCAGCACAAAGACTGGGGTGTCACCGAGAGTCCGGGTACTACTCTAACAATCGGGACCCCCAATTCCAGGTCACATGATCGCTGTGATAGCCTCTGATTGGCTATCACAGTGATCAGTTACTGTGAAGCCCATCACCCTTGGTTTTTTTTCTCTCTGAATGGTGGGGAGAGATACATTGTATCTCTCTCTTTCCTTGTAGAGAGAAAAAAATAACTGTTTGTAAAAGAAGAAAAGATAAATCAATAATAGATATTACAAAATAAAATAAAAAAAAAGAAAAAATACCTAGATCAAGGTTTGATCTAGTTCAGTGCCAGGGTGAGTGTTTGGGTCAAATTCAAAGGTCAGGATTTTTTTTTTAATTGGTACCAGTGTTAGTGTCAGTGTGTTTTAGGTAAAAAAAAACAAAACAAAAAAAAAACAAAACAAAATGTGCAGTATTTTTTCTGGGCTGTATACGGGTACAAGCAACAAATTACATTCACATATATGGTATTGCTGCGATCGTCAAGAGCGGAGCAAGAGAGGAAAATTTATTTTGGGTTGTTCTTTGGTGGTAGGTTATGATAGTAACAAGAAACACACACCTAAATTAAAAAAAAAACATTTTTTACTATTTTGGGCCAGTTTTCCTTTGATAATAAAAAAAAAATCAGGGAGATATCCATTACCATTTACCAGCAAATGAAAGCCCAATTTGTCCTGAAGAAAACGTGGTATAATTCACCTGGATGTACAAAGTAGTTGTGATGATATGTACGGTTTTACTAACACATGTCAAAGTTGTAAAATTTTACTTAGGCTTTAGGATTTGTATTACCCTTAGGCGTGCAGGGGTTAAGAAGAGTAGCATTGCCTCAAGTGATATCTGAGGAACAGTTTGTATGGGACATGATTTACTGCCTAGGGTGCAGGTGTCAAACTGGCGGCCCTCCAGCTGTTGCAAAACTGCAAGTCCCATGAGGCATTGTAAGATTGACAGTTGCAAACATGACTTTCGCAACAGCTGGAGGGCCACCAGTTTGACACCCCTTGCCTTGGGAACAATGTGACAGGTTATAGGGCTAAGGAGGGATCTATGGCTGATCTCTGATCTTATAGTAAAAGATATGCCAGTATGCCAGTGGTGCATGGTGCTTGCTTCGGCAGCACATACTAAAATTGGAACAATATAGAGAAGATTAGCGTGGCCCCTGCGCAAGGATGACATGCAAATTAGTAAAGCGTTCCATATTTAAAAAATAAAAATAAGTGGTGAATGAAGAAGGGATGGTGGCGGGAACTTTTGACATACCTATGTACATAGGGTTCAGCTAAAGGTCCAAGTGAGCATAGTCTTGTATATATCCAGATTTACATACAGTGGGGCAAAAAAGTATTTAGTCAGCCACCAATTGTGCAAGTCCTCCCACTTATGGGCGATCTGGCTGGCTGAGCTGTGATGACGTCACTCCTGCGCATGCATTCGGGAGTCTCGGGACATGGCACAGTGCTCTGAAGGAGCGGCATGGGTATGCCATTCCTTCAGATTGCATACGCCGCCTGTAAAGAAACTTGAATATCTCCTAAATGTGCGCCTATATTCATTTTACCTACAGGTCAGCAGCTTTATTATAAGCTTGCCTGTAGGTACAAATTAACAAAGTGGTTTACTACTTTTAACAAATATTCTGTCAACTCCTTTTTTTGAGACCGCTTCATCAGGACATGGATACCTATCTTCAAAACTGTTGTAGTGCAAATCTGAAGGTAGAATGAATGTTCATGAAAATTCCAATCTAGAAAAATATAAAAACAATATAAAAAACTTTTCATATCAAACGAAAAAGAAAAAACCATACCAATTCGAAAAAATATATACAGTATGATATCTAAGAAGCTGCTGAAAGAGAGATAAAGCTATAGGAGGGGAACTATACTGTAGAAGGTTTTTGCTTCTTACTATACTTCATGGGTGTCTCTCTAGTCTACTGTTTATAGCTCCCTCTCTCTTCTCAGCAGCTTCAGCAGAGAACACAGCTTCAGCAGAGATTCACATACAGCTCTCATAACTTTACCTATTAGAAC